CGTCATCGAAATAACTCGGCGCGAATTCTCGTACTGGCCTCAACAGATGTGATACACACCTGTTGAACGTGGCAGGGGCATTACTGAGCCCTTGTGGCATTACTAGCCATTCCCAGAGCATGCCGCTAGGCGTGCTAACTGCGGTATAGGGTATATCCCGTTCCGCATTAGGATTTGATAGAAGCCATCCATCAAATCCATGGACGAAAAGATGGTACTCTTTGACATACCATCAATGATTACGTCCTTCCTCGGTATCGGCGTCTGAGCCGGTACCGTTGCAGCGTTCAATTTGTTAAACGCGTGCACTATCCGCCACCCTCCTGTTGCTTTTCGCACACAGAAGGTCGGAGAGCTATGTGGGGAAGTTGATTCCCTCACATGGCCCGCTGCTAAACGATCGGCAAAGAACTTGTCGATCGCAAGTACTTGTTCGCGAGGCAGTGGCCACTGCTTCATGACACAGTACTTCGAGCCTGGTTTAAGCTCGACTTCGTGTCGAATACCTTTATCCTTCGGTAATTCGCACGGAACAGTTTCAGGGAATACATCCTTGAATTCAACCAAATCTTCATAGAGAGGATTTTCCTTGAGCGATTCCCATGATTGGGACTCATATCGCTCAATTCGTGTCTTTTCATCTAGGACACTCTCGTCCATAGATGAACTACTGAGAACTCTCTCGTTCTCAGTAAACACTGTTGCTGACCTTATGTCGGTTACATACTCGTCGTCAGCGACGAGTATGCAGATCTGCTTGACTTTGCCACTACGCAGATCACGCAAGAACCTTTTATGTTCGAGCGTTGGCAACTGAGTGATCTCCGAAGTTAACTTCGGAGGCGCAATCAGATCAAGTGTATAAGCGCCTACACATGATCCGTTATTGACTATGACATTCAATGTCTCTGTCATTTCCTGGGGACTTATTCCCTCAGGCTTCGAAGGACTTATTCCTTCGTCTTCCCGGGGACTTATTCCCGCGGGTTTCGGGGAACTTATTTCCGCCGTATTTGTAATCTTGGGACTTATTCCCTTTACTTCCTCTAGCTGGGGTTGCGCAACCACAGCGAGATCCTCTACGAAAGACTCTCCAGTCGATCTAGGATTATCGTTTCGCTTAACCTGAGCGATCGATTGTTTCTCTTCTAGATGTTCCCCTCTAGGGATACATCTTTGTCCCAGTCCACCCGACTTATTCGAGTGGTGGACCTTCGGCGCAGCCTGTGTTTCCTCACAGCCGCCGGAACTTTGCTCCGAAGTGTAACCGTTTGGTACACTAAGGTTTTGTGCAGTCGTACTAACGACCGTACCACAAGTGAGGCCATCGCACTCACTCGTAGTACATCCACACGCTTGTGGACGCTCCAAAACGTTCATCAGATGGCCATCTGATGAACAAGCGGCAGGCATCGTTACTGTCCGATGTTGCCAGTTTACCCGTGGTTCGTACCTTCTGAGCCACGGTATTCCAAGGATGACATCAAATTTGTCATCCAAATCCAATACGATAAAGTCATCGTCGTATTGGGTATCTTCTAGCGTATAGCGAATCTTCACTATACGCTTCATGACGGTTACGGATGCGCCTGTCGCAAGACGAACCGTCATCCTCGTAGGAGGTGTGTCACATTCACTGAATTTAAAGTGACCATCTTCTAGCGATTGGCGTCGCACAAAATTGTTGGACGCCCCACAATCGACTAGAGCTCGAAGGGACAACTTATTTTGTCACTTCGAATTTCAAGGTAATGAGTGAGATCTCATTACCTAGAGCAGCAACGCACAACGTTTGTGTGTTGGGAGCAACCTTCATCAAGAGGCCTACAAATTCTCTTGACGTTGCTGGACCAGTAGGGTGCTCCGCACCTACTGATCCTGTCCGTTTTTTGACGGTCCATCCCGTTGTTGCGTCTTTGCACCAACTGCGGACCCTCGTCCCTGCCCCTTTCTCATGGGTGGACGGTCACTACGCCCAGTGTCGCGAGACACTGGACGAGGGGCACTACACTCGTAAGCGTAGTGTCCTGTCTTTTGACATCTGTTGCATCTCTGCAACTTCTTGTAGCCTGTAGAGCGAGCCTTCTCGCTCTCTACATAACAGAGTTCCATTGGCTCTGGACCTCCGTTGTCATATCGTCTCGGTTGACGATATGATGTCGAGCTGGCGCGAGCCTGTCTCAGACTGAAGTCTTCCTGCTCCGCAATTGAAATGGCTTGTTCTAGTGAATCTAGTTCAAGCCGGAACAGGTGAGTCTTGACGGGACCATCCGCAAGACCCTGCATGAACACCGAAACCAACGTGTGTTCATCCACCGGATTGGAACTTATACAACTCGTGAGATGTCGTATATGTTGAGCGTAAGCGTGCACATCACGCTTACCCTGCTTGAGCTTCAAGAGTTCGGTTCGAGCTCTGAACTCAGCTCTAGGCGGTTCAAACGTTTGTCTGAGCCACGACTTGAAGACTTCTAACGACCCAAACGCATATGGGTCGCGCAACGTGAGCCCCAGTGCCCAAGTCTTGGCACGTCCTGCCAGATTTGACTGGGCAAATGCAACTTGCATATCCCCGTCGTCGATGCGACGCGCCCTTATGGCGTCATCCAATTCGACGAACCATCTCAAGAGGGAGTCTTCTTCGACCCCCCTATACTTTGAGATGTCAATCTTCAAAGTCTCGGGCCGACGCGAGTGCATCGACCCGCCAGCAGCAGCCTGCTGCTGTCTCAACAGTTCAAACTGTTGAGCACCTTGTTCTCTCAACAACTCTGCTTGTTGAGAACCTTGTTGGTGAAGCAAGGCTACTTTCTCGCGTTCTGCGTCAAGTTCATTTTGAATGAACTTGGCGATAGTAGCATGTTGGGCATCTCTATTGAGAGCCTCTAGCATGACGCTAACAGCATGGATGCCCATGGTCGAACCCATTCGTTCAACCGCATCCCATTCGACATCGCTCAAATGGGAGTAGCCGTCACGCGTAGCGTGAAAGCTTTGGTCATCTTCATCATCCAACATATTCATGTTGGATGTGAACGCGGTCCTTGGACGGACTACGAAGTGCTACCAGGTGTAACGGGGCACCCTGAAGCTTGTACTGGTGACAGTACAAGCTACTTATTCTGATAACAGAATAAGGCGGTGCCTCGTAACTTCACGTACACTCGTACGTGCAGAGGAAGACGGTAAGAAGAAGCGAGTACTCGGTTAGAGTAAAAAGTAGAACTGTATTTATAATAGTTAATGTCTGCAATAAATCACTATTTATCTTCATCTAACTATGTCTAAATACAAATGTGTAAATCAGTTATCTGCTCACCACTCATTGCGTGCGTCTGTCGTGGCGCGTCTTCGTTGGTTGATATAATGGCCTATATCAACCAATTAGGAACTACTTGGAAGTGCTACAGAATATTGTCCTTATGACAATATTCTGAGAATATAACTCTTATAGTTATATTCTATTAACAATTTCTTATAAATTGTTATGTAACGATTCACCCCGTTACACCGACAACATTAAATTGAATTTTAACAAAGTTTTTTCACCGCCACCGTTCTTTTTACCCAGCGCTAAACTTTGTCGTAATTGGTGTATTCTGACGTGTGTTCGGTATTTGATCATCTTGAAATATGCCATCCTTTGTAAAGTTTAATGTTTATCAAAATGCATAATTAGTTTTTATCAACAAATTTTAGATTGTTAGAGGTGGCCATCAGCTTGTGATTTTGTGGTATTTCTATTGTCAGATCAAATCAAAACTTCTTCCATAACGGTGTCTTAAATTTCTTCGCACAGGTACAAATCCAGGATGGCGCACGCGTCGTCGATTGTATAGAACTCGCCTTGCCCGATACCTTCGTCTTCCTCATCTTCCTACTCCCGCTCGGGTAGCTTAATCAGTCGCCGCTCTTCATTCTCCTTGACGTTTGCGACTAGCACCATGGTGTGTAAAACAGAACACAGATTGGCTAACGACCGTGATAGCTGCACCCATTGTAGGCGATGGCGACCTGTTTCTCGCGTTTGCCAAGCCTAAGACCAACACACTGATTGTTACGCGCTCGATTTTTCTTCTAGTGATTTTGCTTGCCACCTACGCCACCGGCCGAGTTGCTATGCACTTAGACGAGCGCAATGGCGAGATCGCGTGGTCATCGGTTTGCGCCCAGACCAAGGAGACTCTAGCTTGCGCGACGCCAGGGCATTCGTGACTTCCACGCGCATCGCGTAGCAGTACGCGAACTGTTACAGCAGAAGATTGCAGCGCTTCTGGTTGCCCGCGGCAATCCGCGTCAACTTTATGCGGCACTGCTGAAACAAGGGGCACGGACTCAGCTCGAGTAGCGAAGGCCCTTGCAAGCCGGCCAGGTTCGTGCGCACATTGTAGTACAACGGGTCGGTTACAAGGCAAGCGCATGAGCCAGCGTGTAGATCACGCAACCGCGATTATGGATGAATTAGAGCAAAGTGTCGCGGTCCACATCGAGCACGGCTTTAGTTACCTGTTCGAGAAACATTACGTAATGTGCGACGTGAGAAAAACGAGCCCACGCTGCCGAAAACGTCGCCTCATTCCTCTCCAGATGCATGATTGCGGCGTACAATGTTGTTAGATGCAGCGCCACTGCATCCGTCTTCTTTCAGAGCTGGACTTCAAGAATGGCATTGCGTCCCGGGTACTCTATTGCCACAAACTTAAACTTATCGTCATGTTCGATTGTGTGCAGCATGCTGAGTAGCATGGGTTTTACAAGAAGGTAGCGCTTAAGCATGGTAGAACACTGCACCAGCTTCTTTTCGTTAACGTTATTGATTTGTAAGTCTTGAGCAGCTTCTCGAAGTAGCAGACGTCATAAATCGGCGCCAGCAGGTGCACACTGTTGTTTTCTGTTAACGATAAAGCGTTTGCCGAGTCAATCTGCTAATTTTCGGGCAATTTTAGCCGATCCAAAGTCGATAGTGTTCGCCGTGCGCCGCGCAGTAGAACACAATGTGATCAAGGTCGGACTCGAGCGCCTTCCGGCGCAAGCTTATCATGACACGAGGCAAATCCTTGGAAAGTCCACATCGGCTCTACCTTGGAGGCCACATCGGCGTCCTTGGCGACTTCCTCTAGCACTTTGACGTCGTCCTCGACATTTATGTCCAATGACACACGAAGACTACGACGCACGTCCTGGACCCTCTCAAGTAGGTTTGCTGCCGTCTTGAAATTTAGTCTTATGGAGAAGTGCATAAAAAGCGAGTGGTCCGACGTCATCATGTTAAGGACCTGCTCTCCCGCCTTGTTCGTCGCGCCATAGAGCATCATGCAAATATTTTTGAATTCGTAGACCACCCGGATCGCCTCCTTTTGAACGATTATGTATTCGTCGTTAATAAGTCGCCCGCCTATAACGTTAGGTTCTGGAAGCGGTACGAGGTATGAATCTTGGCTAGCCACGCCTTCCAGTGATCGCTCTTTAAATGGGTGAACAACGCCGCTGAGTGATGTTTCGCGCGTGCCAGCAGATCGTCGGCTCCATTTTTGATCATCAGCAGTCATGGAGTCAAACCAATGAGGCGCAGTGGACAACGTTCGCGTCTTCGATGACAGCGCAGGTCACTTGCTGGGTCTGATCTCGATCGGCTCTCGGTCCTCGCCCGGCACATACTGGTGCGATACTCTCCCCGCGGGCAGCAATTCAAACCCTTCGGGGATTACTAATAGATGAATCAAGTCGGCAAAAAAATTTCAACGAGAAAGCAAGCGATGTGTGGCGTACCAGGGCGTTATCATTGTTGGCGTGCCGATGGAACCCCTGGGCACATAGACGAAAGTCTTGCCGCATGGTTTGCAATCAGCCAGGTCGCACTTCCTGTTGCCCATCGCTGTCATGCGATTTAACCGAATCGTAAGCGCCGAGTTCGGTCGCCCGGACATCGAGGAAGCAGACGAGGTTGGGTGTAGACGGGTGAGACTGTTACGTGTAATTAACCCTTGATACTTTTTGATTGGAATGTTATCATAAAGGTTGATTATGTTCTTGAAATTACGATAAAATTATATTCAAAATGCTCACCCATTGGCTGATATAAGCCATCACCTCAGCCAGCTCTAGCGGTCTAATCAACAATGAACGCGCGCAACAAGTGGTGAACAAGACTGTAGCACATATTTTGTCGATAAATGTAATTAAGTCAGGACTAAAACATAGGATTATGATTTGGACTTTATAATATTTAATTTTTTTTACTCTTCTACTTCTATTGAACGCGTCGTTCACTAGAGAAAGAGGTTCAGAGTGTCTGTTTACTTTGTGTTTCTAAGTAAAAGACCTCTGGAAAGACCTGAGCCAGGATATGAGCGCCAGTGTACCCGATGGCTGATCTTGACCGATCCCCTAATTTAACGGGGACCCTCTTGGTTGTCGTATAAGCAGTTCAATAAACGCATTGAGAGTCGCCCCTCGAATGGCTGTAGCTGCTGCTCGATGTTCACGTTTCACAATGCCCGTAACTGTCGTATACACGCTTCCGATTGTTGCTCTGTGCTGCTGTGACCGTGTTGATCCGCTCCGCGAAACACCACTGCATTCCTGTCCGTCCATAATCGGGTGTGGCAAACCGATGTGAGGATGCTCCATATCCGCTGCCATTCGAACTCGGCTCCGGGGGCATCATCGTCAAATCGGTCGACTGTAATAGCTTTCTGGCATCGAGGTATCGCGGTAGCCCGCCGGTTTGCGCACGCTGCCATAAAGTGCCTCGTTCTCTGACTTGTCGCCATTTCCCCTATCCAATGGCTTACGACTTTGTCCCATAGGGCTTGCGCACAATAGCAGTCGCAAAGAATGGGCCGTAGCGTCTCTGGACTTGCCGCCCATCGAGCCGTCCTCTGGCAACAATTATTGCGCTTTCGTCCAAGAAAGAAAAGGTTGAGTCGGCCGGTTGCGGGTCTACAGCCCGTCCAAACCTGATTGGGTGTTAACCTATTTCCATGGTCCGAGATCTGATGTGGGGTTTGCTGTAATGCTGCTCGCTGCCACTCGTCCTTTGTAGTTTAGCACTCCATTCGGTCCATGAATCGCTGCAGTGGCTTCGCTAGGGCTCGTTTGGTGAACGTGAAGGCCTGGAGACCTATAGCTTTCGATAAACGGTGCGTCGCCGTGCCGGCTGGAGCACCTCACGGAAATATATGCAACTGTGGATGAGCCGCGAACATTAGTCCAGCAGTGCCGATCCTCTAGCTGATTTGCGGTGCCTGCTGCTGTAGTTGTGCTGTTTTTATTTCCGGGATGCGACCTTCGAAAAACTAGTGTAGTCCATCTTCACCCTGTTGTAATGTCACAATGCGTGTAGCTGCTTCAGCTTGTGACCGACCCTCGATGCAGCATTTCCCCGAATTATTCAGCAGAATAAATCGGCAAATGGTGACTCGTAAAGCAGCTGTATAGACGGAGCAGCTGTCATGTCACCTCCAAATACTAAAATCCGGTGAGAATAGTAATAAAGACGTTGCCCACCGGTGAAATGTCGTTGCCGAATGTCATTAGGGTTGGTTTGCCTGGTTAGGAAGTCGAAAAACAATTTTTTCGGTCCAGTCCGACGCACTTACAAGTCGGCCAGAGAGCATGAGGCTATTCTGTTAAACTTGCGGTGCTTCAGCGTGTCTCCACGCTCGTCTAGGACCCATGGATTATCGTTCCAATCGAAATTGGCCCAGAAACTTGTGATCTCCGCAGGCCAAATATGGAGTCCTCTCCCCGGGGCGGGTACGCCTGATAATACGAGAGGACCCAGTCATCATACTCCCACCAACTACTGATTCCCTGAAGCATCACGTTACAATGCTCGGAAATCCGTGAGCGGACACCTTCCAAGTGAATAGCAGAAGGAGCCAATCATTCCCCTAACGCTTGTAGGAGCGTGTATCTTGGTGACTGCTCCGTCTGACGGCGTGCGCGCCCCACCTCTGGCGTCTTGGGAGTCACGCAGGTCGCTTGTAAAGTCAATACGTACCTATATGCCCACGTGCGCCATGCACCGAAATACCTATCCTCATTTTGCGTTAGCCACACCACTGCATGCTAAGTCTTTGTGTCTTGATCACTACCGTTATGGAAACGAGTCCAACTCCACCTGTCTTCTTTGGCGTCAGTAGAATATTCAGATTGACTTTGTGCTGACACCGCTCTGTCGATGTAGCGAGCGCCCAGAGAAATTGCTTGTACAGGTTTGATAGCTCGACTTCGGCCCATCTTGGAAGACCAAATGCAATCGTCGTGAACAATAGCGACGGTAGAACGATAGAGTTCAAAATGAATACCCGATTTTCCACGCTAGTAGCCACTTTAGTTGCGGTCAGGAGTCGCCGCTGGATCTTGCGCATGCGCTGGGCCCAGTTTTGTTAGTCGGCACTCCGGTTCCCACTTCGTACCCAGGGTACCTGGTCGTGTCTGCGGGAGATACAATGTTAATTCCGTGCCAAGTGGCCAGAGAAACTGCCGTGTTGGGGAAAATTAACTTACTCTTGGCCGATTGGACGTGTAGGCCAGAAAGTCGCCCAAACTGTCTGACGAGCCTGAGAGCGTGTGGTATCTGCTGTGCTTTTTCCAAAAAAAAGAGTAGAGTCGTCCACAAATGCTGAGAATAGATGTCGCCGCTGTTTCTGCCGAGGTACACTAAGCCCCACCAGCTGTCCATCCTGTGTTAGGGCAATCCCAAGGACTTCCGCAGCTACCAAGAATAATAAGGGCACCAGCGGACACCCTTGACGTATACCAGATACTACCGGTATCGCCTTTGATTGTTGTCCAATCAACACAAAACGGGCTACCGTGCCTCGAAGCAGACGCGTCACGAGATCCACGAAACGTTCGTCAATCCCAAATCGACGTAAAGCTTCCGATAGAAACTCTCTGTCGACGGTGTCGTAGGCCTTTTTAAAATTCAAGAGTAGAATACATCTGCTGTTGTTTACGTCCAGTTCCGCCTCCACCCGAGCTGTAGTTAACTGTGCCAACATCACCATGACGGTTTGTTGCATTTGGCGTCCAGTTACAAACTCTTGTTGGGAGTCACTGATGACCCTCTGTAGGACCCTCTGTACTCGGGTGGCAAGTATTTTAGCGAAGAGCTTGTAACTCGTCTGCAGTAACGAGATCGGGCGATAACCCATTGCGTTAGTCGAGTCGCCTTTTTCCGCAGCGGCATAACGAGAGCTTCAACAAAAGAATGTGGCATCTCCGCCCCTTGGACAATTTGATTGCATATCGTTTCCAGTGCGGGAACCGTGAAAGCCGCTGAGTCCTTATAAAATTCATTATTTAGCCCATCCTGACCTGCTGCCTTGTGTCTTTCAAGCGCCGCGACGGCTAGCAAAATTTCATCCACAGATATTGGCTGTAGAAGAAGAGCGTTGTCTTGAATCCGCAGCCTCTGCCCGGACGGGATACTTACAAATTCCCCGAAATTAGTAGGCAAGTCATCCAGCTCTACTTTTCAATGAATCTTGCACAGAACTGGAGTCCATTCCACAGCAAACCTATCCGCTATGGTCATATCACGCCGGAACGCCGCACCATGTCGCTGGGTGATATTGGTGACATGCTGATCACTCTCCCAATCTGACACCCTTTTATACGACCACCGCAACCGCGCCGAAGAGCGTGCAAGCTGGTCACCAAGCCTACCAGATGTGCCTCCCGCATTTCTTCCAGATTGGCTGAAATCCATTGCCGACGCGTCAGTAAGTGTACCCTATTTCTTTGACGTATCTTCTCAATGCCGCGCTTACGTCGTTGATTTTCTCGTTTGGTTATACGTTATCTAAACTTTACGCCTTCAGCCACATCTGCGTCCCATGTGTGAACTGTGGTTCCGTGTCCGACCTCCATATTCGATAACTCGTGGTGTAGGTCCGCTATAACTCGGTCGGGCTTGTTAGTCTAGATAGGATAAGCGACTTTAAATTGATTGGGCGGCCTGTGCGTCGCTAAGGTTTCCCTCAGATGCAGTTCCACCTGCTGATGATTGGAAAAGAGAGGTGGTGAGCGAACGGATACCCAGACGACGAAGGGTGCCCAATATTCGGGAACGTAAAAACGATCAATCCAAATTGCTCGTTCACGTTTCCAATTAGTGAAGTGATCCGTTAGGTCGTCTTCTCCTTCTTCATCTGCATGTTCGCACAGCATGCGCGAATCCGTCACTTCGTATTCAGAAGCAATTTTGTGAGGGCAGAACTCTCGGATCGGCTTGCCTCCTGCCGCCCCGTCCTGTCCAGTTGAGGATTCTGTACGCAATTTAAGTCCCCCAACAAGACGCTGTCAGTATTGTGAAGGTAACAAAGACTCAGCCCGCTGAAGAACAGCTCCCTTTCTCCTCGCAGGGAAGGCGCACATATGTTTAACACGACAATCTCGCCCATCCGTATCCCGATCGTGCGACTATCCCACCGATTTGTCTCCGATGCTGATGCCGTATTCGCCGACGCAGGGGTAAGAAAGATAGCAACTTCACCGGATGAGGATGACCCCGTACTCCAGTAAGACATGACAGGGTGATCCCGATCTCGCTCTTTCCCCCGGAGACGCCTCCACTCTGCTGCCAACGCGCTGGCCTCGATGACCGTGTCCAAATGCGTCTCTAGTATGCACCAAGCAAATGGTCGCCGACACACCGGGGTTCGTCTCTAGGCCTTTATCCAATGATGTCGCGTCTTATCTTTAAACCCTGATAGGTTTTGTGTGACCAATTTTCTGTCCATTTGCAAGCCTGAGATAAGTCGGTGGCCCCGTCGTGTGGTAACCCCTCTAGAAGTCTTAGCCGTCCGTACGCATCCGCCGTAACTATCGGAGATCCGTAATAGAGCGGGCCCAGAGTCACATCCATAGTGCCCTTAGTACAGAACGAGGCTGCTTGCCTCAATATGCCGGAGTTCAGATAAAAAAGCTACGAAGAGCTTCCCACTCGACTGGTTTGTTCTTTGGAATAATAGGCGCGTTTGCACCGGTCATTTGAGACCAGTAACCTTAGGTGCATCTGCAGTTTGTCCGGTGTGTGCGGTGGTGTGGGTTTACCTTCGGTAAGCGCGGAGAGTTCACAATCATATAAGAGAGAGCACACAATATGGCGACCAGTCCCTTGCGCCGCCGGGGAGCACACAATTTGAGCATATCGTCGCCCGCGCACTTCTGAGACCGCAAATGATTCCAGTAGTCCGAGTTATCCACCAGAGGAGCCAGTACCTTGTTGGTTCTGCTATGACGAGTATTGCTGATCCACCAGGTCAGCCATTCGTGTGTACGTTTGTCCGTCGTCCTGTCCCTGCATCTCTGTAGGCCAGCCGCGAGACATTCACGTCTACCACCAATGGTCCATTGAAAAAAGACGGAATCATCGAGAGTCAAAAGTAGTTGTTCTGGAAAGGCAAACCGTTTGACATGCCACATCAGAATATCCGGCGCATGCTGTACGATCCGTTGCCATTCCACTGTGGTACTCCATGCCGCGGGGAAAGGAACATGTGTCCCTGAAGACCATTCCGACTGCAATAACTTCCACGCAGAGGCCCAATCCTCCTTGTCAATACGTTCTTCGTCAGGATCACTTGGGAGAAGCCGAGGAACCTCGTCATTTCAACCTTTTTTAGAACCACTTGCTCCTGCGAGTTGTGATCTGTCTGTTAATCGTCATCAATAGCTGTCGAATAATGCGAATATACACGTTTACGCGCCGTGAATGACTGATTCCTTGTGTCCAAAGAATTCTCAGTGAGCAGTAACGTTGAATCCCCCGCCAGTCCAAACACTGCGAGTGCGGTGCATTGGTTAGTCGGTATCGGTGGGTGCGTCGCGTCCACTATGCGATCCTCGTGCGTAGCTGGATAGAGACCGCCAGGAATAGTAACAGAATCTGATGTATCCGACTCGGCGAGTAATAAACCGTCTGCCCGCGGAGACGAAGTGTTTCTGGTTGTATTTGGTTGACGGAGCCCCCTAAGCTGCAGCTGCCAAAAGTTCAATTGCGTAGGAAATAGATGATACTCCTTCAATATCCCCTTTTCCGTGGCAACTGTCGCGTCCTCTCTAAACACTGTCGCTAGGCACTGTTGAGCTTCCAGGGATCGTAACAACGCTGTCTAAGTAAGCAGGTTGAGAAGCTCGTCATAGCGCGTAGGGTCACACGATGTGAAAAGGAGATAAATCTTGTGTTTCAGCTCGCGATGAACTGACTACGAATCTAGTTGCCTCCAGATGACATTGATCCGGTCTGTTCCTGACGGCGCGACATCGGCAGCGACCATACTGCTGTCGGCAGCAATTATCTTACGGCACTGCGCTGTAGATTCCGGTGATCCCGCCTTAATCTTTGCTGGTCAATTAGTCTCGAGTCCTTCCTGGTTATCGCTGGTATCCCCATTGCCTTCAAGATCTGGCAACCCCCCAGTCCTGCGAGAGTGTATGAAAGCTGAGTAGTTCTGTCCCCAATACTGTAGTATGAGGGGTGGTGTGCTTGGGTGTTCGATTTCACCCGCGATTATTTCGTCCATGCACTCAGCCACAGTCAAATTGTATTCCGCTGACGTCTCGACCACTCGCCGCTGACGAGTAACGGTCCTCGGTGTGCATTTTCGACATACTCAGTCACTATTGTCAACCGTTACGTGCTGTATCACATAAATGTCGCGCTGTAGAAAGTTTGCGGCCATGCCCATGGTGTCGCTGCCGCCCCAGGTGTCATGTGTGACGACTGTGTCCGGTTTAAAAGAACTCGAGGCGTAGTCATCGAGAAACCATCGCAATTGGTTGGCCGATTCCGAACGGGTTATTGTAGGCCAGCCGCGATGGACGTTGTGTAGCGCGTGAACCCGATGATCGTGAGCGAACTGATCTTCTGAATGAAGGAGTCCAGAATATTTTGTACCCTTTTTCAGGATTACTGTCAGCCGCTCCATCATTTTTTCCGGCCCGTCTAGTGGCGCATCCGCTGATACCTGCGCCACCGCCATCGCCATGCAATTCCCGGTAGCAAGTGTCGTGACCTCACGCACCCCCAATTGGAACGACAGCTCTGAGATAGAGGATGGTGAGATCAATGAATGGGCTCCTATTTGGATGTGAGTGCGTGACCCGGCATCTTTTTGGAGTTAGAGCTGGAGAAATTTACTCCGTTCACGCTGCTTACGGGTCATCAATATAGGAGCTGTGCTCCGCTGTGCCGGACCTCGCTTTAAGGCCTCATCTTTCCTCGATAGAAAATCGTGAGTCATCAAAACGATCTTTGTGAGATCTTCTACGCCCCGTGATCTTAGCTATGATGTGGTACTGACCCCTTTTTTTTCGGAATTTTCCGGTGTGTCAACGTGTTCCTCGTTGAGCACATGAAACGCACCAGACGAAGGGATTTGTGGAGCGGCATGACGAGTGGGTCCAGATGGGTGGGTCCACAAGTCTCTTTTACCTCGTAGTGGCTTCGTGATCCACCGGCTGTTCGGGTCGTGGTGTAGGTTCAGTGTGGAGATAAGCAAACTTTTCGCCTTGTTCCTTCGTCTGCTCTCGATTAGTAACTGAGACTTCATCCCGTGGTAGAGACGGTGTTGTCGTCGGCCCGTCTAATGATACTGTCGGCGTCACCGCTGCTTGTGCCTCCGCTTCTTCTCTCTGCTGCAATTGAAGCATTTGAGCTGCCACTGAGCATATTTCGTCGAGACTGCCAAAAGGCTTAGCCAAATCTTCCAGCTCCCGGAAAGCCTCTTCCTTCACAACAATACATCCTGGTCCTCGCAGTTGCTCCTCCGTTGAGCCACTGCGTGACAAGGTGTGACCTAGATGTCCACATCGCAAGAAGTGAAGCCTACACCCGACGTTGGGATGCTTAATGATTATCGTAGTCCCGAACCAGAGAATGCGGACCACCCCATCCAGAAACGTGGGGCACCCAGCAAGCTTAAAGGTTACGCTCCAAACTGTCGAAGTCATCAAGTCCGGCTTGTGAGTATCCATGTCGTCCATATCAAACTCTGTCGGTATGTTCGCCTATAAACAAGCCGCCATCCGCCCTATGTCGCTAACATCGCGTGAGGTTATGTAGTTGGATGGTGTAATCCGGTCGGCGTCCACTAGTGCCCGGTTGACCTCCAGTCTGACGGGCCCAGATGAATCCTTGATCGAGACAGTGTGTGTTGTGCAAGGTATACACCCCCCTGATATGGCACTTGGACTGATTTGTGCCGGTCCGCGGTAGTTCTCGTGAAGAAATAGAAGTGAATTGACTTCGTTATCTGATTGTAACAAAAAGTCTTGGTCTGTCCCAACATCCGATGTGAAGCCTGTAAATCAATACTCGCTAGTTCTGCGGACGCCACAATCGTCTCAGTGAGGGCTTTGGTTGTCTGACGACTTGCCTTTATCTCCCGGCGGCGATCCAAATGGAGAATTAATTCTCCTTTCACTTGCGCTTGAATAAAACTGTATAAGCGATCCTCGCTTTAAGGACTTGGTTTAGCGACGATATCATCCGACGACATGCAATAGTACCTTCTTCTAGTCCCACAATGATTGACCATTCGTCATCAGTGCTATCACGGATGTGATACCTGGGAGTTACACCACTCGACGCCATACACAAGCTTCGCAGCCTTGTGATCTCCTCCGTTGAAAATTTGACCGGGTTGAACATGAAATCATCACATGTTGCCCCTTTAGCCCCGGAAGTACGGATATTAGGCACAGTGCTGCCGTTCTGCACCACGTGCGCCCACTGATTGAGTGCAGGCGCCTGTGCCCATATGTGTTGACTGGACATTTTGCGCACGATCTCTCAAAATGCCCACTTCGTGGTGCATAGTTCCTTGGTTAAGACCGTGACAAGCTTTGTCCATTCCGTAAAGGTTCCGGGGCTGCTGACGAATGCATGTTCAAATAGTCCTAGCAGACTAGCCACCTCCACACTTGTGAGAGCTGGATGCCTCTACCGAGCCAGCGGTAAAGCCTCGTGTTTCACCGGTACACTAGCGAAGACCTCCGCAAATAATTCCCGCACCGTAGATCTCCATGCCTCGACCTGTCCAATGTCTGGAGAGTCCTTTATTTTCGCTACCAGCGCCGCAAACATCTATTCCGGCGTGGATCGTATTGGCGCTGTACGTTGTCCTTGAGTACCCCCACAGCCATCCCCGGAGGGTCTCTGGGGGTGTCGGTAGTGTGTCATCGATCGTCGCCGGTAGGTTTGGATCTTGCCGTACAATGGCCGGATCTGGTGAAAGTGACTGCTGTGATACAGCTGCCCCTTCTGGTGAGTCCCCCTCGTCGCCCGCTCCCCCTGGAATCAGGGGCAGGTGAGGAGTGGGCATATCCACTGGGTCAAACAGTCGTATGACCAAGCGTGTCTTGTTTATACTCCTTTGTGATCACAAGTGATCGCTACGTCGCAGATAAAAGAGTGAACGCGTCGTTTACTAGCTATCCTTCCTCTGCACTTACAGTGTGCGTGAAGTAACGCACAGCACTATCTACACTGCTGTCAGTGTAGGCAAGCTAATACTGGAGCAGTACTAGCAACCAGTGCCCCGTCACATTGGGTAATGTGCGCTGGGAATCCGAAACACAAAAATGCCTCCCTATTTCAGGGCTCATTTCCGTCCATATCAAAATATTTAAAAATACGCATCCATCATTATGGCGTATGACGACTACCCTCGCGCGAACACAAAGGTTTTGTGTCGAAGCGATCGGCGGGATTACAGAGCATGACTCAAGCGCAAATTTTTATGTACAATTGTGTACTGGGAGACGAAAGAGAGGAGAAGTAGCATATTAAAGGAGATTGTTTAGACCTGCCCAGCATCGACACAATGTAGCCAAACCGACTCGCCACCATCCGTCTCTCATTCCTCAATTCGCCTAGTAGTCCAAAGACCTCCACTATGCGTCCACTCTCTTCCTTTCTTAAGACCCTCGTCATCCTCCAGTGGACAAGTGCAGAGTCAGCCACCACGAACGACGATTGGCCCGATGTTGTTGCTTGAAACTTGTCTGCTCCTCCTCCACGCCAAGAGACGTCCGCGTTCGTCGAGTCCACAGGGTCGCAGGTACAAGCCCCAGATGCGGAAAAGATGTACGACGAACTTCCGGAACAAGAGGCGATGAATGGATGGCCCTCTCTGATCGATCCAAGCAAGCTATTGAGCGTGGAGATGTTGCTTTTGGGCCCACCACTACATGAGAGCACAGTTCTCAAGACGATCAACGAGAATGCAGGGATGATAGTCACTCATGAGAAGCTTGCGCAGTGGCTGCACAAGTTTCAATCGCCTGGGTACTCCTTTCGTGATGACGTTACGGTGAAGCTATTGGTGCAATCTGGGCGAGAAGGAGAGCTGGCGAGACTGTTTCTTCGGCTTCGAGCCGCTGGTGGCATGAAGAGCCGTGCGGAAGCGATGCAACAAGCTCTACTTGACGAATACCCAAAGGCGTTTTCGCAGGTGTCCGAGTCGTGGCTAGGATCGGAGCTGAATCCCGAAGAAGCTTTCCACATGATGCCCACATCAATGAAGCGAATCGATCTGGGTGCCGTCGGGGAGAAGCCAGATGAGCTCGACGTCCTTCGTATGATCTTGTATTGGCTTGGGTATGTGGACAAGTACCGATCTCTGGGTCTCGACTTCAGTGATTACAAAGTAGCCAAAGTGTTGATGAGCACTAGAAACACCGACGAGGTGCTGGGGATCTTCCTCAAGCTTCGAAGCGTCCATGGCATGGAGGACCGCGCAGACCGGATACTAAGTGGTGCGATATTGCGACTGGCCTTTGGTGATGCACTGGTGAAAGAGCTGAGTCCTGCGATAGTTTTCACCAAAATGTCCATCTCAGTGACAATATCGTCTGTGTAACGGGGTGAATCGTCACATCACAATTTATAAGAAATTGTTCATAGAATATAACTATAAGAGTCATATTCTCAGAATAATGTCATAAGGACAAATATTCTGCAGCACTTAAGAGTAGCTCCTAATTGGTTGATATAGGCCATTATATCAACCAACGAAGACGCGCCACGACAGACGCACGCAATGAGTGGTGAGCAGATAACTGATTTACACATTTGTATTTAGACATAGTTAGATGAAGATAAATAGTGATTTATTGCAGACATTAACTATTATAAATACAGTTCTACTTTTTACTCTAACCAAGTACTCGCTTCTTCTTACCGTCTTCCTCTGCACGTACGAGTGGACGTGAAGTTACGAGGCACCGCCTTATTCTGTCATCAGAATAAGTAGCTTGTACTGTCACCAGTACAAGCTTCAGGGTGCCCCGTTACACCTGGTAGCACTTCGTGGTCCGTCCAAGGACCACGTTCACATCTAACATGAATATGTTGGATGATGAAGATGACCAAAGCTTTCACGCTACGCGTGACGGCTACTCTAATTTGAGCGATGTCGAATGGGATGCGGTTGAACGGATGGGTTCGACCATGGGCATCCATGCTGTTAGCGTCATGCTAGAGGCTCTCAATAGAGATGCCCAACATGCTACTATCGCCAAGTTCATTCAAAATGAACTTGACGCAGAACGCGAGAAAGTAGCCTTGCTTCACCAACAAGGTTCTCAACAAGCAGAGTTGTTGAGAGAACAGGGTGCTCAACAGTTTGAACTGTTGAGACAGCAGCAGGCTGCTGCTGGTGGGTCGATGCACTCGCGTCGACCCGAGACTTTAAAGATTGACATCTCTAAGTATAGGGGAGTCGAAGAGGACTCCCTCTTGAGATGGTTCGTCGAATTGGATGACGCCATAAGGGCGCGTCGCATCGACGATGGGGAAATGCAAGTTGCATTTGCCCAGTCAAATCTGGCAGGACGTGCCAAGACTTGGGCACTGGGGCTCACGTTGCGCGACCCATATGCGTTTGGGTCGTTAGAAGTCTTCAAGTCGCGGCTCAGACAAACGTTTGAACCGCCTAGAGCTGAGTTCAGAGCTCGAACTGAACTCTTGAAGCTCAAGCAGGGTAAGCGTGATGTGCACGCTTACGCACAACATATACGACATCTCACGAGTTGTACAAGTTCCAACCCGGTTGATGAACACACGTCGGTTTCGGTGTTCATGCAGGGTCTTGCGGATGGTCCCGTCAAGACTCACCTGTTCCGACTTGAACTAGATTCACTAGAACAAGCCATTTCCATTGCGGAACAGGAAGACTTCAGTCTGAGACAGGCTCGCGCCAGCTCGACATCATATCGTCAACCGAGACGATATGACAACGGAGGTCCAGAGCCAATGGAACTCTGTAATGTAGAGATCGAGAAGGCTCGCTCTACAGACTACAAGAAGTTGCAAAAATGCAACAGATGCCAAAAGACAGGACACTACGCTTACGAGTGTAGTGCCCCTCGTCCAGTGTCTCGCGACACTGGGCGTAGTGACCGTCCACCCATGAGAAAGGGGCAGGGACGAGGGTCCGCTGTTGGTGCAAAGACGCAACAACGGGATGGACCGTAAAAAAACGGACAGGATCAGTAGGTGCGGAGCACCCTACTGGTCCAGCAACGTCAAGAGAATTTGTAGGCCTCTTGATGAAGGTTGCTCCCAACACACAAACGTTGTGCGTTGCTGCTCTAGGTAATGAGATCTCACTCATTACCTTGAAATTCGAAGTGACAAAATAAGTTGTCCCTTCGAGCTCTAGTCGATTGTGGGGCGTCCAACAATTTTGTGCGACGCCAATCGCTAGAAGATGGTCACTTTAAATTCAGTGAATGTGACACACCTCCTACGAGGATGACGGTACGTCTTGCGACAGGCGCATCCGTAACCGTCATGAAGCGTATAGTGAAGATCCACTATACGCTAAAAGATACCCAATATGACGATGACTTTATCGTATTGAATTTGGATGACAAATTTGATGTCATCCTTGGAATACCGTGGCTCAGAAGGTACGAACCACGGGTAAACTGGCAACATCGAACAGTAACGATGCCTGCCGCTTGTTCATCAGATGGCCATCTGATGAACGTTTAGGAGCGCCCAAAAGCGTGTGGATGTACTACGAGTGAGTGCGATGGCCTCACTAGTGGTACGGTCGTTAGTACGACTGCACAAAACCTTAGTGTACCAAACGGTTACACTTCGGAGCAAAGTTCCGGCGGCTGTGAGGAAACACAGGCTGCGCCGAAGGTCCACCACTCGAATAAGTCGAGTGGACCGGGACAAAGATGTATCCCAGCGGGAAAATCTAGAAGAGAAACAATCGATCGCTCAGGTTAAGCGAAACGATAATCCTAGATCGACTGGAGAGTCTTTCGTAGAGGATCTCGCTGTGGTTGCGCAACCCCAGCTAGAGGAAGTTAAGGGAATAAGTCCCGATATTACAAATACGGTGGTAACAAGTTCCCCGAAACCCGCGGGAATAAGTCCCCGGGAAGCCGAAGGAATAAGTCCTTCGAAGCCTGAGGGAATAAGTCCCCAGGAAATGACAGAGACATTGAATGTCATAGTCAATAACGGATCAAGTGTAGGCGCTTATACACTTGATCTGATTGCGCCTCCGAAGTTGACTTCGGAGATCACTCAGTTGCCAACGCTCGATCATAAAAGGTTTTTGCGTGATCTGCGTAGTGGCAAAGTCAATCAGATCTGCGTACTCGTCGCTGACGACGAGTGTGTAGCCGACATAAGGTCAGCAACAATGTTTACTGAGAACGAGAGAGTTCTTAGTAGTTCATCGATGGACGAGAGTGTCCTCGATGAAAAGACACTAATTGAGCGATATGACTCCCAATCGTGGGAAATCGCTCAAGAAAAATCCTCCTATGAAGATTTGGTAGAATTCAAGGATGTATTCCCTGAAACTGTTCCGTGCGAATTACCGAAGGATAAAGGTATTCGACACGAAGTCGAGCTTAAACCAGGCTCGAAGTACTGTGTCATGAAGCAGTGGCCACTGCCTCGTGAACAAGTACTTGCGATCGACAAGTTCTTTGCCGATCGTTTAGCAGCGGGCCATGTGAGGGAATCAACTTCCCCACATAGCTCTCCGACCTTCTGTGTGCGAAAAGCAACAGGAGGGTGGCGGATAGTGCACGCGTTTAACAAATTGAACGCTGCAACGGTACCGGCTCAGACGCCGATACCGAGGAAGGACGTAATCATTGATGGTATGTCAAAGAGTACCATCTTTTCGTCCATGGATTTGATGGATGGCTTCTATCAAATCCTAATGCGGGAACGGGATATACCCTATACCGCAGTTAGCACGCCTAGCGGCATGCTCTGGGAATGGCTAGTAATGCCACAAGGGCTCAGTAATGCCCCTGCCACGTTCAACAGATGTGTATCACATCTGTTGAGGCCAGTACGAGAATTCGCGCCGAGTTATTTCGATGACGTATTCATCCATAGTCGAGCTATGGATGGAAAGTCGGACGTTGAGGTTCACAGGTACCACGTCCGACAAGTTCTTACAATCATGCGAAAGCATCAATTGTATGCTAACCTCAAGAAGTGTATATTTGCAGCAAGCGAAACACCACTTCTTATGTGCATCGTTGGTAAGAACGGTGTACGTCCTGATCCCGAAAAGATCAAGGCGATCACCGACTGGCCTGCACCGGTTGATGTCAATGGACTTCGAAAAATCCTTGGGCTAGCGGCGTATTTGCATAAGTATTCACGCAATTACGCCGAGATGACTGTACACCTCTCTCGTTTGTTGAAAAAGAACGAGAGGTGGTTATGGAACGCTGAATGTCAGCGCTCCATTATGGTATCAAGCAGAGCTTGATACAATCCCCAGTCCTAGCAATAGCCGATCAGGACAGGCCATTTCATGTGGTCTGTGATGCCAGCAATTCGCAATCGGCTGTGCATTAATGCAGTACGATCTTGAAGGCGTTGAACGCGTCGTATGCTATCAGTCGCGTCAGCTGCAACTAGCTATGCGGAACTATCCAGTGCATGACAAGGAACTCCTTGCCATGAAGTATGCACTCGCGAAGTTCACAGTCTATCTATAAGGAGATAGACCCTTCATTGTTTACACAGACCATGCGTCGTTACGCACGGCAGTGAACAGCCCGCACCTTTCACAACGAATGGCGCGGTGGTTATCATTCTTTGCAGAATACAACTTTACGGTAGAGTTCAAACCAGGACGACTTAATGTCGTCGCTGATGCACTCTCACGTCTTCCCGACTTTGAACCAGTCGTGAAACCCAACAGTGAGACAGCCACTGTTGCGGTTATGACGTCCTCAGTCCCATCTTCAACGTTGCATGATGATGTGAGGTGGGCTTATGCCCAAGATGGTGAGATTGTGAAGTTGTTAACACATCTCTCACAGCCATCTCGAGAATCTTTGAAACGATTGTCGCCTGCGTATCGATCTGCATCAGATCGATACACTACTCGCAACTGTTTACTGTATTATACAGCCGTTTCTGGTGACACACCACGTGTTGTCATTCCAGATGATACTGATCTGCGTTTGAGGATCATGTTCGAGTATCACGATGCTCCTATAGGAGGACATCGCGGCCGGGAGAAAACCTAACTCACGGTGAGTCGAGACTTTTACTGGCCCCGCCAGTATCAGTTTGTGCGACAGTATGTTCGCGCACGCGAAGTCTGTCAACGAGTGAAGTCAAGTCCTTCACTGCGTGCACCTTTACAGCCTCTACCGGTTCCGGTTGAGTGCTGGGAATCCATCTCAATGGATTTTGGCTTCGGGTTACCCAAAGCCGCACGCGGGAATACGGGTATTCTCGTATTTGTTGACAGATTTAGCAAAATGGTACACCTAGTGGCTGTACCAGAGTCAATCACGGCAAGTGGCTGTGCTTGTGTCTTTATTGACACCATCTTCCGACTTCATGAGTTTCCCCGTGAACTCGTATCAGACAGAGATCCACGATTCACTGCTGATTTCTGGCGTTCCGCGTTCAAATCACTCGGAACGCGCTTGAAGATGTCAACATCTGATCATCCAGAGTCAGATGGTCAGACGGAACGGGCCAATCGTGTCCTTGAAGAGATACTTCGAGGATACGTACACTCCTTTAAGAGTTGGAGTGAGTTTTTGCCAATGGTAGAGTTTGCCATCAACAACTCGGTGCATGCGTCCACGACACATACACCGTTTTACGTGAATGGCTTGCGCCATCCGCGTGTACCCACCTTACTAGAGTGTAACTCTGGTTTAAGGGGGGAGGGACTCGCGCGAGCAAAAACCGAATTGGTTCACGCTCATCACGCTCTGACGAAGAAGTCATTGCGTTTGATGCCGATATCGATAACATCGATATCGAAGAAGATGATGCCAGTGAGAGTGCGGAAGCCCTCACTGAAGAAAAGGTTGATGTTGCTGCAGTGCGCTCACAGCACACTGAAGCTAACGAGTCATCAGATGAGTTCATACTGGCTCGTGAAACGGTAGTCCGTTTTGTGCAAGACTCCATCGCCGAAGCGGTGGATAAGCAAAAGCAAAACGCTGACAAGAATGGAAGGGCAAACACTCTTTTATTTAATAAAGGTGACTTAGTCCTACTGTCTACGGTAATCTACCAAAGCATGTAGTGACTAACTTGGGTAGCAGTAAACTACTACCCAAGTACATCGGCCCATTTCGTGTATTGCACCGCCTAAGGCAATGCACACACGATCGAGTTGCCACGTAAGATGCGAACACATCCCACGTTTTACGTTGGTCGGCTTAAGCCGTACCATCAGTACGCTGTTTCTTCCGATGAAGAACGCCCTTGCGCTCAAGCATCTCGCAGAGAGCCTTGTGCTCCCGATGGTGGGCATCGACAAGGGTCTGAAGAGAGGTTATCTCATCCCGAGACCGATCAACAATCCCACGAGCTACCCTTAGCTCGTCACGAAGAGATGTCAGAGCTCTCTCGTTCTCAAGCTGAGCGAAGGCAAACTCAGCTCAATGCTTCAAGACAGTGTCCGCCATTTGGAGACGCCTGTCCCGCTCATGTTCGAGATCGCCGCGTAACCCTTGCGTTGCACGATCAAAGAAGCTCTCGGAGACACAAGCTTCCCCACGATTGTGTGGAGAGCGTCTTTCCTCCTCCTCCACCTCCTTTGGAGGACTCTCGCGGTGGCCAGAGCTATCTGGTTGAGCAGCTGTTGAATCACCGCGACGTGAACGGACGTCAGACGAGTTATCTCGTCCGGTGGTGCGGCTATCCCCCGTCCTGGGATACTTGGGAGCCCCGCTCCCAACTGATGATCGACGTACTGGGTCTGGTTGAGCATTACGACGCGGCACATCCTGTGCCGCAGAAGGACCGCCGGAGAAAGTCTTCCCGGCACGGTCGTAAAGGAATTTCAGGTTGTCAATCCCTTCGTACATCTCAGTAGAGACACGTACGCGCCACCACGGGCTGGTAAGGAGGTAAGCCTCCTTAGGTGCTCGTGCAGAGTTGTTCACACAACATGGGCACGAGTCTCCCCATGAGAGGCAGGGTAGTCCCTTCTCCCTTGACAGACGATGCAGCTTGTAGCGTGCACCTGTCGGGGTTCGCTTTTCAAACTTATCACGAGCTTTGATAAGTTTGTCGTTCCAAGCGTCACGACCTACATCCTCAAGGTTATGGATGTAGGCGTTCCACGCTTGAAGTAGTGAGGGACCATCACGCTTGTGATTCCCACTGTACCATCGATGTCTGAAGAAAGCATCGATGAAGAATTCATGTTCAGCGCAATAGTTTTTCGCACTGGGGTCAAGGTGATGGATCCTTGACGAATCGAACAATCGTGTTCGATAATGATCACTCGTCGTCGCCGACAAGTGATCCATGACGGATTTTGGAGGCATCCATGCCTTCTTCTCGGGAGCGAGACGCAACACATTGCGGTCCCGCTCTTCCTGCGATGGGCCGACAGAAGTTCTGGCACCTCGTTGCAAAGTGGTGTCCACAGGAGAACCGACACCACTGTTAGCGCCCGAGTCTCGCGACCTCGAGCGCCTTCGCTCCGGCGATGGTTCATCTGATTCATCAGATGAACCAAAGATGCTGCGACGCAAAGCATCGTCCATGCCACGCTTGGCAGGCGGCTTGGATTCAATCGCCGTCGATACGGATCCGTCTTCCGTATCAGGAGAGTATGAGACACCGAGCTCGTACTCAGTGAAGACATGAGTGTCTTCATGACCAGCGCCTGCATCACCAAGTGACACAGGCTGGGTCGCTTCAGCAACCGATGAGACATCAGTTGCTGTGGTTTCTGCTTCGGCGTCCGCACAGAGACGTGCGGACGCGCTCTCGGCGGCCTTGCTCGCGCATCGCATGGGCTTGTTAACCATGCGATGAAATGTTGGAAAGTGGACTCGGACCAACAAGTGCAAACCCTGTCCCAAATGATTTGGGACGAGTATCCATTTAGTCAATCAGTCACTAAAGTGACTGATGGTTAAGGGGGGGTGATGTAACGGGGTGAATCGTTACATAACAATTTATAAGAAATTGTTAATAGAATATAACTATAAGAGTTATATTCTCAGAATATTGTCATAAGGACAAATATTCTGCAGCACTTACGAGTAGTTCCTAATTGGTTAATATAGGCCATTAAATCAACCAACGAAGACGCGCCACGACAGACGCACGCAATGAGTGGTGAGCAGATAGTTGATATGCACATTTGTATTCAGATATAGTTAGATGAAGATAAATAGTGATTTATTGCAGACATTAACTATACTAAATACAGTTCTACTTTTACTTTAACCAAGTACTCGCTTCTTCTTACCGTCTTCCTCTGCACGTACGAGTGTACGTGAAGTTCCAAGGCACCGCCTTATTCTGTCATCAGAATAAGTAGCTTGTACTGTCACTAGTACAAGCTTCGGGGTGCCCCGTTACAATCTGTAAACGTCGGTAGAAAGGATTCAGATTGGCCCGTTCTCTTGACTCAGGTCCAAGAATGGCTCGAGTATGTTGACGAGTACCGATCACTGGGTTTTGACTTTAGCGACTACAAAGTGGCTCAAGTGTTGGCTGTAAACAGAAACACAAATAGGGTGCATGAGATCTTGTATAAGCTTGAAGACGTCCCTGGTATGAAGAACCGCGTAGCCCACATGCGAACTGGTCTGGAATTTTATTCACATGTCACCGATCTGGCGAATTCTGGTCCGTTGTTGACCCCTGCAGAAGCTTTCTATACGACGAAGATCCTAGCGAGACGGGACGGTGGTGCCAATGAAGATATGCCAGTTTCGCTCGTCCTCCTGTCTGAGCTCGAGAATCGGCTTGACTACGTTGACACGTACCAGCACTGGGGTTACGAATTCAGCGACGGTCAAGCACTTCAAGTGTTGAAGGACCATGGAATAAGTCAATTGAATATGCGCGAGATGTTCCAAAGGCTTCGAGACGTCCTTGGCATAAAGTACCGCGCAAACATATTCTGAGATTACTGGCAAAGCCACGACAGGAAAAAATCGAGACGTGGGTTCACTTGAAATTGAGCCCTGCCGAAGTGTACCACAAAATGTCTATGTCGAAGGCGAAATTCATTTTGGGTACCGGTAAAGAGGAGTCACGCCAACTCGCTGTCTTGTCCATGCTCGAGGATTGGCTCGATTATGTAAACACGTACCGGTCTGCTGGTCTCGTATTCAGCAACGGGCAAGTGATCGACGTGTTGTTGAGTCACAGGCAAACAGAAGAGGTGGTAGAGATGCTCCGAATGCTGCAAGACGTCCCTGGCATGGAGTACCAGGCGCACATATTACTGAGTAGTCTGGCTTGTCGCCTGCAATTTCCCGCGCGGCTTCGCTTGGGGTGGACTCCTGCAGGTGTTTACCCAATCATGCCTATCTCAACGGCAAAACTCATCCCTTCGAGTTCCGGTGAAATGGAGTTAGATTGGCCCATTACCTTGTCGGAGTTCCATGATTGGCTCGAATATGTGGACAAGTTCCGATCTCTGGGTCGCGAATTCAGCGACGATCAAGTGATTGATGTGTTGACGGCCACCAGGCCAATCGAAGAGGTGGTGGAGATTTTTCATAAATTTAGAGGTGTCCATGGCATGAAACACCGCGCAGATCAGTTCCAGAGGCTACTACTTTTGCGGTCGACAGCAGTTGATTTTCAAGCTTTAGAGCATGCTGTACAGTTATGGCGGAAATCAAAGCCTACTCCTAGAGAAGTTTTCCTCATGCTGCCCATTCCAACGACGAGATTCGAAATGGAAACCGTCGGAAATACGGACGAGCCGAACGCCACCGGGTTACTTCTCGCATCTTGGATATATTATGTTAGCGAGTACCAAGCTTGGTCTTTCGCGTTCGTTGACGACGAAGTAATTGGGTTGTTGATGCGCTACAGACCAGTCAACGAGCTGGTACATTTCTTCAATTATCTTCGAACCGTCCGTGGTATGAGGGACCGTGCAGACTACTTAAAATTGGTACTACTTTGGCGACTGCTCGCTCGATTTCCGACACGTTAAAACTGGTGCTCGATATGCGGGTACGGTCAATGTTTGACCAGCCGAAGTTTACCACATGTTGTTCTTTTTAGCGTGTACACGCGTTGTAGGAGGCGTTGGAGAGAAGCCGAAATGGCCCGGCATTCGTCTCGTGCTCACCTATTAGCTCGATATGTCGACAAAAAGTCAACGAGACTTCGGTGATGATCAAGTGTTCGACGTGTTCAGGCGCAGTTGACAAGAGAAGAGATGGAGGAATTAGCAAATTGGTTAGAGACGCTCCTGCCCCGTAGAACTGCGACTGGATGCAACGAAGTCCAGCTTCGTGATCGGCGGTTCTAACGGATACGTTACAGCTAGTGTGCGGTGTGTGCTCAAGTCAAAAAGAGTCTGTAGCACTCGTTTATCAAGCGAAGCCTCCTCTTCACTACATGCAAGATCGACTGGAGTACTTCTTGTCTCGTGCAGACGTTGATCATTTACCACTTTGTCATAGTCATCGTTCCCCACGGTATCCATGCTATTGAAGATTCGGCTGTCACGAGCGGATGCGAAAAAGTAGCGGTGGGCGAAAAGAAGGGTCTGAACATCCACCTGCAATATATGTAGGGGTAAACGTGATTGAATATAATATGCATGTGTTCCTCATGAGACAGCTTATAGCATACCGACTTTACTGCCATCATCATACCCGGACTTGGTCGCGTCAAACTCTTCGTGTACTACTAATGGCCACATTTCAATCATAAAAGAGTACTTCGCAGGCTAGAATGCACATCTTGAACTTACGCAACGTCATCCGTTTCGTGCGCCGTTTTGGATGATACCAGCAATTTCTTCTACGCTGCTGGCGTGTTTTTCTCCATTGTAATTTTTTGCGCTTATTATCTGAGTTAACTCGTGCCTTGTGTAATGGCACGGCTGCGTCGGTGCACGACGCAAGTAGCATGGTGGTGGCAGTGACGAGCTCCTCCGGGCCGTTTCCCCTACTACCTTCGACCGACTAGCGTGGCACCGTGCGGCTGGTTCATAGCAGTGGTTTGTGGTCTGGAAAGACTTGCTATCATCAATGGAAATGAAGTGTGGTTCTAACGATCTTTTGTAGCAGATTGTTCTTGAACGCCGAGACGTCCTTCATAGAAGGAGGCATGTGCTTGCCTATGCGTGTGTGCCGTTTAGTTAGTGCTTGTCAAAAACATGTACTGCGAGAGGTGCTTTGTAGCGAGTAACGAATAGACAGAAGCAGCCATTCCGACCCACACTTGAATTAGATGTCATTGGTGATAGCCAAGATCGATGCTCGTCAGCGCCATTACTCGTTCAAATTACGCTGGCTGTCGAGACACTGTGCCTGAACGCGGTGAAAGCTGGCATAAGTTCCGCCTACACACCACCAAACGTATTGCTCAAATTTTGACATATCGATCGAGAGCTTCCTTAGAAATTGTAATGGGGCAACCTTATGTTAGGGTGCCACGAAACTTCACGTATACTCGCACATGCAGAGGAAGGTAATCTATTTAAAATACAGATTACTCACAGTTAGAGAGCGCGATTTGTCCATAAAATTTCGCTGTGTCCTTAAGATCGAAACCAACTTTTAGGACACCACTTCGTTTCTGTTGGAAGATGATTAAATAAAATCTTTAGGAATATTCTATAGGAATTGGATAATTGGAATAAGTTCCTAGGAAAGTAAGATATGAAGAAAAATGTAGGAATCCAAGTGATTTAACAAATTAAAAAAACGGTTCCATTTTTGCGTGCTTAAAGTAAGTAATGTTAGTTTCAGTATGGGCCACTGGGCTTATTCTTTCGATAATCTAACGGTGATTTGCTGCTGGTGCATACTCTGTTGAAGCTGTTGGCGTAGAAATTGGATAATTGGAATAAGTTTTTAGGAAAGTAAAAAAAGATGTGAAGAAAAATGTAGAAATTATAGTGATTTAACAAATCAAAAAACAGTTCCGTTTTTGCGTGCTATTAAGTAAGTGCTGTTAGTTTCAGTCTGGACCACCGAGCTTACTCTTTCGAGAAATAATCGGTGATTTTCTGGTGGTGCATGCTCTATAAAGCTGTTGGCGGCATTTCTCTGTCAGCAGTTCCATCCCCACAATATCAATCTTGTGTGCAATATCGATCTTGTGTGCGAATAGGTACATAGACAATTGTATTGTACCATTCAGCGCGTCGCGATGAGTAAAGATGGGATTTTCATCTCCGTCGCTATCATCATCACGCGAAAATAGCTCAGAGGTGGCAGTTGCATCGGAGTCTGGTTCCCATTCTTCCAGGTTGTTGTCACACTCCAGATAGTCGTCTGCATCTATTCCACCAGGTAAGGATAGTTTTTCGATTATATTAGCCAGGATTAAGAGATCATTGGGACGGACAGGCTTGTCTTGCCTACGGAGCACTGCCGCCATAACTCCCACACGATTCCTGTGTGGATCCAACAGTGTCGAATCGTTTAAGGGCGCACCTCAGCCCACGATTTTACCACCACACGGATTGCGCTAAGAACATCGAGCTTCTTGTTCTGCGTCCCTGCCGTCACCATGTCCAGTAGCCACTGCACGAATTGGGCCTTGTACTTGAGCTTGAAGTTGCGAATGATGCCTGCGTCCATCGGCTGCAAATGGGAGGTGGTATTTGGTGGAAGGAAGTGAATGTGCACGTTTGAGATCTCCAAATTGACATGTGAGGTCGCGTTGTTGAGCAGCAGAAGAACGTTTCGCCCACTCATTTTGAGATTGAACGCTTTCAACCAATTTGCAAAGATACCGCCAGTCATCCATGCCTTTGCAGGTGCATGGAAGTGGACGGGTAGCTTGGAAACGTCGATGGCTTTAAAGCAACGGGGGTTGAGGGACTTGTTGATCACGATTAAGTCCAGTTTCTCAGTCCCATCCATTTTAGAGCATAGCCCTATCGAAATGCGCGACTGATCTTTCTTCTTGCCACTCAAAGGCATCGTTGCCAAAGCCTACAAAGGCATCATGCGATAGTATAGACCGGTTTCATCCATTTTGAAAACATCGCACGCCGCGTAGCCGCCGAGAAGGGTCCGGAGTTCCTGGCGCCCTGGTGAAGGGTCTCTAGCTCGACTGAAACCACCTCGCCATGCAGTCGGTAAGACTTGATGCCGTGTCGGGCTTTGAATCTCGACACTACGAAAGCGAGATGGTCGTCGTGACACCTGCGTCCTCGAGCAGTTGATTGGCCTTCTGGTGGAGGATGAAGTCGGTCAACGTGACTTTACTTTGAGTGTCGAGCACGAAATGGAACAGCGCTTTCTCCACCTCGGCATGTCTGCCCATCTGCTGCCGTTTGGCTCTCGGATTGAAGGTGACAGAAATGTCTCTGCTCACAAAGCCTGCTTATCGTGAACCGTGCAACACGGTCTCCAAACTCTCCCAGCGCCCATCGACAGGGATCGGCTTGCGTGAGTCCAGGGTTTCATCACTGGTGTGTCTGTAGATCTCTCATCTGGATGAAGGAAAGGTGCGTTCGGGGCGCCATTCGTACGTCGTGTTTGTCTGCGGAGGTGCTCGGAAATCGCGAATTGTCCTTGCGTGTGGAGAAAGGGACGGGTGGCGGGCGTCACTAAGTTCTTTTGTCCAATAGCTGTGCGATAGAAAAAATGCACTTTACAATTTGTATGTTCTTTTTTGTCCGGTAAAATCCGGTTTTTAAACTGTGTTGGTCCTTTGACCGTGGTCCCTCTAACTGTGAGCTATCTGTACTGGTCGAAGTTAAGATAAAAAGAGAACTGTATTGAGAAGAGTCAAGCTATCGTTGTAACTTTAATCTTTACCTAACTATCTTAATTTACATTGTCGAATGACAACAACTGCTCACCACCATTTGCGCGCGTCTAGCAGCGATTGGTGGTAATTTTGATTGAAATGTCTTTTATCAATCAATTTTAAGCGGCACGTGGACATCATCCTCTGGAATAATATCCAATATTACCGTCTCTAACAATATTGGCAGAAGGTTGTCACGCTTAACAATCTCCCAACTGACACCGTTTGATGTCAGTGTATCGTAATGGGCTACCCCGTCTCAGATGACGTTGCGTAAGTTCAAGATGTGCATTCTGGCCTGCGAAGTACTCTTTTATGTTTGAAATGTGGCTGTTAGTAGTACACGAAGAGTTTGACGCGACCAAGTCCGGGTATGATGATGGCAGTAAAGTCGGTATGCTATAAGCTGTCTCATGAGGAACACATGCATATTATATTCAATCACGTTTACCCCTACATATATTGCAGGTGGATGTTCAGACCCTTCTTTTCGCCCACCGCTACTTTTTCGCATCCGCTCGTGACAGCCGAATCTTCAATAGCATGGATACCGTGGGGAACGATGACTATGACAAAGTGGTAAATGATCAACGTCTGCACGAGACAAGAAGTACTCCAGTCGATCTTGCATGTAGTGAAGAGGAGGCTTCGCTTGATAAACGAGTGCTACAGACTCTTTTTGACTTGAGCACACACCGCACACTAGCTGTAACGTATCTGTTAGAACCGCCGATCACGAAGCTGGACTTCGTTGCATCCAGTCGCAGTTCTACGGGGCAGGAGCGTCTCTAACCAATTGGCTAATTCCTCCATCTCTTCTCTTGTCAACTGCGCCTGAACACGTCGAACACTTGATCATCACCGAAGTCTCGTTGACTTTTTGTCGACATATCGAGCTAATAGGTGAGCACGAGACGAATGCCGGGCCATTTCGGCTTCTCTCCAACGCCTCCTACAACGCGTGTACACGCTAAAAAGAACAACATGTGGTAAACTTCGGCTGGTCAAACATTGACCGTACCCGCATATCGAGCACCAGTTTTAACGTGTCGGAAATCGAGCGAGCAGTCGCCAAAGTAGTACCAATTTTAAGTAGTCTGCACGGTCCCTCATACCACGGACGGTTCGAAGATAATTGAAGAAATGTACCAGCTCGTTGACTGGTCTGTAGCGCATCAACAACCCAATTACTTCGTCGTCAACGAACGCGAAAGACCAAGCTTGGTACTCGCTAACATAATATATCCAAGATGCGAGAAGTAACCCGGTGGCGTTCGGCTCGTCCGTATTTCCGACGGTTTCCATTTCGAATCTCGTCGTTGGAATGGGCAGCATGAGGAAAACCTCTCTAGGAGTAGGCTTTGATTTCCGCCATAACTGTACAGCATGCTCTAAAGCTTGAAAATCAACTGCTGTCGACCGCAAAAGTAGTAGCCTCTGGAACTGATCTGCGCGGTGTTTCATGCCATGGACACCTCTAAATTTATGAAAAATCTCCACCACCTCTTCGATTGGCCTGGTGGCCGTCAACACATCAATCACTTGATCGTCGCTGAATTCGCGACCCAGAGATCGGAACTTGTCCACATATTCGAGCCAATCATGGAACTCCGACAAGGTAATGGGCCAATCTAACTCCATTTCACCGGAACTCGAAGGGATGAGTTTTGCCGTTGAGATAGGCATGATTGGGTAAACACCTGCAGGAGTCCACCCCAAGCGAAGCCGCGCGGGAAATTGCAGGCGACATGCCAGACTACTCAGTAATATGTGCGCCTGGTACTCCATGCCAGGGACGTCTTGCAGCATTCGGAGCATCTCTACCACCTCTTCTGTTTGCCTGTGACTCAACAACACGTCGATCACTTGCCCGTTGCTGAATACGAGACCAGCAGACCGGTACGTGTTTACATAATCGAGCCAATCCTCGAGCATGGACAAGACAGCGAGTTGGCGTGACTCCTCTTTACCGGTACCCAAAATGAATTTCGCCTTCGACATAGACATTTTGTGGTACACTTCGGCAGGGCTCAATTTCAAGTGAACCCACGTCTCGATTTTTTCCTGTCGTGGCTTTGCCAGTAATCTCAGAATATGTTTGCGCGGTACTTTATGCCAAGGACGTCTCGAAGCCTTTGGAACATCTCGCGCATATTCAATTGACTTATTCCATGGTCCTTCAACACTTGAAGTGCTTGACCGTCGCTGAATTCGTAACCCCAGTGCTGGTACGTGTCAACGTAGTCAAGCCAATTCTCGAGCTCAGACAGGAGGACGAGCGAAACTGGCATATCTTCATTGGCACCACCGTCCCGTCTCGCTAGGATCTTCGTCGTATAGAAAGCTTCTGCAGGGGTCAACAACGGACCAGAATTCGCCAGATCGGTGACATGTGAATAAAATTCCAGACCAGTTCGCATGTGGGCTACGCGGTTCTTCATACCAGGGACGTCTTCAAGCTTATACAAGATCTCATGCACCCTATTTGTGTTTCTGTTTACAGCCAACACTTGAGCCACTTTGTAGTCGCTAAAGTCAAAACCCAGTGATCGGTACTCGTCAACATACTCGAGCCATTCTTGGACCTGAGTCAAGAGAACGGGCCAATCTGAATCCTTTCTACCGACGTTAACAGACGATATTGTCACTGAGATGGACATTTTGGTGAAAACTATCGCAGGACTCAGCTTTTTCACCAGTGCATCACCAAAGGCCAGTCGCAATATCGCACCACTTAGTATCCGGTCTGCGCGGTCCTCCATGCCATGGACGCTTCGAAGCTTGAGGAAGATCCCCAGCACCTCGTTGGTGTTTCTATTGCTCATCAACACTTTGGCTACTTTGTAATCACTGAAGTCGAGACCCAGAGATCGGTACTTGTCCACATACCCAAGCCAATACAAGATCATACGAAGGACGTCGAGCTCCTCTGGCTTCTCCCCGACGGCACCCAGATCGATTCGCTTCATTGATGTGGGCATCATGTGGAAAGCTTCTTCGGGATTCAGCTCCGATCCTAGCCACGACTCGGACACCTGCGAAAACGCCTTTGGGTATTCGTCAAGTAGAGCTTGTTGCATCGCTTCCGCACGGCTCTTCATGCCACCAGCGGCTCGAAGCCGAAGAAACAGTCTCGCCAGCTCTCCTTCTCGCCCAGATTGCACCAATAGCTTCACCGTAACGTCATCACGAAAGGAGTACCCAGGCGATTGAAACTTGTGCAGCCACTGCGCAAGCTTCTCATGAGTGACTATCATCCCTGCATTCTCGTTGATCGTCTTGAGAACTGTGCTCTCATGTAGTGGTGGGCCCAAAAGCAACATCTCCACGCTCAATAGCTTGCTTGGATCGATCAGAGAGGGCCATCCATTCCTCGCCTCTTGTTCCGGAAGTTCGTCGTACATCTTTTCCGCATCTGGGGCTTGTACCTGCGACCCTGAGGACTCGACAAACGCGGACGTCTCTTGGCGTGGAGGAGGAGCAGACATGTTTCGAGCAACAACATCGGGCCAATCGTCGTTCGTGGTGGTTGACTCTGCACTTGTCCACTGGAGGATGACGAGGGTCTTAAGAAAGGAAGAGAGTGGACGCATAGTGGAGGTCTTTGAACTACTAGGCGAATTGAGGAATGAGAGACGGATGGTGGCGAGTCGGTTTGGCTACATTGTGTGGGTGGTGCATAAGGCCCACTCTGATTGATTATAGACTCGGTCGATAGAGATTCAAAAACATTGCGAAGGTTAGAATTAATGTGTTTGTTGTTGTAGATAAGGCAAATCAATGCAATTTGATGAAAAACAGACCGTGGTAGCATAGTCAAACACCCAGAACATGGCTATGGACCGACTCCAAGGTTACTTGTCTTATAAACGCTGACATGGTGATATACTTGCAGGATCCTGAACAGTCTCGACACTTTAATAAGTGAGTGAGGTGTCCTCAAGTCTAGCCATGGCGGAAGGACTTTTAAAGAGGCTGTAGTAACGCAATGGATTGACAGTGTCTCTGTATTGATAGCAGGTCTCCGTCGCACGGGGCTTGAAGGTTGCCAAATTCAAGCAACGTTATACCAAAATGCTGGCAAAATCTAGCCAATATATGTCGGCGATGCCACTTCTAGCGAGCGTGAGGGATTGACGTCGTCTACAAAGTCTGTCAACTTACTGTCGTACGGGTTCAGTAGCAGCACAAGCCTACATGATAGCCACTCACTTTTAAATTGGATACTACACGGAAATGCAAGGATTTAGTCTCTTTAGCTGCCACGGAGATGGTGAGGATCAAATCTAGTTTAAAGGAGATCATTGAGAAAGCGGAAATAAGCCTTTTCAGGATATGACGCTAAGCACGAATAGCTGCGTGCTTGGAGTTCAATGTCGTCTTTAAGTACTGGACAGGATAAATGTGTGCTCTGCAGAGCTGACTACAGGCGGGATTCTGGAAGAAGGTCAAAAGTCATAGAAGGACAAGCAAAAAAGTGGTTTTCTTGGACGTTGATCTTTTCATTTCGAATGCGATGGCGCCCGTCGCATTTGGAATGAAAGATCAACGTCCTATGCGATGCCTGGTTCCTGCTAACCGTATTCCAGGAAAGTATCCAGGCTAATTATGAAGCGCGCCGCGACCTTCTTTACAGTCGCAGCGGAAGCACCCAGTTCAATATGACTTGCACGTTAAGTAGTCCCTCCTTTGACAATTCGTGTAATCGAAGATAGTAGTGTTTACGTGCTTCCTGTTGTGTCGGAAACGAACCAAATTTGCAAACCTCTATCCTAATGGTGTCAGGATAAAACTGACTGCGAGCATAAAGGGCACAGCAATTAGCGCGTGTGCGTAACGCGATAGCTGAACTTTATAGCAGGCCTCGTCAAATTTGGCACTTGTCGTATTTGCCAAAAATGAGTTTTTTTTGGCACACTTTCAGGCCCTAGATTTGGCGTATACCATACATGAAGCAATTTTCGAGCTTTTGAAATTTAATGTGATTTCTACGAGGAGGAATATCTTTCACGCGATCTTGGCGAGCAGGTCGTACCGTTTGGATTGCTTGATACCCTCTGGTGACAAATTGGTCATATTCGGACAGCATCGTCCTTCTCCTAACCAAGCTTGGAGAAGTCGGACTCAATCGTGGCAGTATTTGGGAGAACGAATGCCACACACCCCGAGCGATCACGAAGCGTGTAACGGGGTAGCCTGTTACATGAAATTGACACCAAACGGTGTCAATTGGAATATTGTTAAGTATGACAACATTCTACCAATACTATCCGAGATGGATAATATTGACGGAATATCATCCCCTTGTGAATAACATTCATTCGCTGCTCCAAGATTGGTTGTTATAAGACATATCAACTATAGACTGCCACCAACCGCTAATAGGCGCTCGTAATGGGTGGTGAGCAGGTTGTCGTCATACGACGGCGTAGTTAACATAGTTAGATAAAGATTAGAGTTATATTGATGGCTAAATTTACTAAGTACAGTTTGCTTTTTAACTTACTTGATCGAGTCGTTCAAGTAGTTTAGCTTCCTCTGCACGTACTAGTGTACGTGAAGTTTCGCGGCACCCCAAACAAAGGGTACCCCGTTACACCTGGTAGCACTTTGTAGTCCGTCCAACGACTACTCAGTGTCCGTCCAACATGAATATGTTGGACGTAGAAGACGACAGCTTTCACGCCACACGTGAAGGCTACTCCCATCTGAGTGACTCAGAATGGGAGGTAGTCGGCCACATGAGTGTGCTCATGGGCGAACCCGCCATCAGTGGTATGTTGGGGTCTCTAAGCAGAGACCAGCAACATGCTGCTGTTGTAACGGGGTGAATCGTTACATAACAATTTATAAGAAATTGTTAATAGAATATAACTATAAGAGTTATATTCTCAGAATATTGTCATAAGGACAATATTCTGTAGCACTTCCAAGTAGTTCCTAATTGGTTGATATAGGCCATTATATCAACCAACGAAGACGCGCCACGACAGACGCACGCAATGAGTGGTGAGCAGATAACTGATTTACACATTTGTATTTAGACATAGTTAGATGAAGATAAATAGTGATTTATTGCAGACATTAACTATTATAAATACAGTTCTACTTTTTACTTTAACCAAGTACTCGCTTCTTCTTACCGTCTTCCTCTGCACGTACGAGTGTACGTGAAGTTACGAGGCACCGCCTTATTCTGTTATCAGAATAAGTAGCTTGTACTGTCACCAGTACAAGCTTCAGGGTGCCCCGTTACACCTGGTAGCACTTCGTAGTCCGTCCAAGGACCGCGTTCACATCCAACATGAATATGTTGGATGATGAAGATGACCAAAGCTTTCACGCTACGCGTGACGGCTACTCCCATTTGAGCGATGTCGAATGGGATGCGGTTGAACGAATGGGTTCGACCATGGGCATCCATGCTGTTAGCGTCATGCTAGAGGCTCTCAATAGAGATGCCCAACATGCTACTATCGCCAAGTTCATTCAAAATGAACTTGACGCAGAACGCGAGAAAGTAGCCTTGCTTCACCAACAAGGTTCTCAACAAGCAGAGTTGTTGAGAGAACAAGGTGCTCAACAGTTTGAACTGTTGAGACAGCAGCAGGCTGCTGCTGGCGGGTCGATGCACTCGCGTCGACCCGAGACTTTGAAGATTGACATCTCAAAGTATAGAGGGGTCGAAGAAGACTCCCTCTTGAGATGGTTCGTCGAATTGGATGACGCCATAAGGGCGCGTCGCATCGACGACGGGGATATGCAAGTTGCATTTGCCCAATCAAATCTGGCAGGACGTGCCAAGACTTGGGCACTGGGGCTCAAGCTGCACGACCCATATGCGTTTGGGTCGTTGGAAGTCTTCAAGTCGCGGCTCAGACAAACGTTTGAACCGCCTAGAGCTGAGTTCAGGGCTCGAACCGAACTCTTGAAGCTCAAGCAGGGTAAGCGTGATGTGCACGCTTACGCTCAACACATACGACATCTTACGAGTTGTATAAGTTCCAATCCAGTGGATGAACACACGTTGGTTTCGGTGTTCATGCAGGGTCTTGCGGATGGTCCCGTCAAGACTCACCTGTTCCGGCTTGAACTAGATTCACTAGAACAAGCCATTTCCATTGCGGAGCAGGAAGACTTCAGTCTGAGACAGGCTCGCGCCAGCTCGACATCATATCGTCAACCGAGACGATATGACAACGGAGGTCCAGAGCCGATGGAACTCTGTTATGTAGAGAGCGAGAAGGTTCGCTCTACAGGCTACAAGAAGTTGCAGAGATGCAACAGATGTCAGAAGACAGGACACTACGCTTACGAGTGTAGTGCCCCTCGTCCAGTGTCTCGCGACACTGGGCGTAGTGACCGTCCACCCATGAGAAAGGGGCAGGGACGAGGGTCCGCAGTTGGTGCAAAGACGCAACAACGGGATGGACCGTCAAAAAACGGACAGGATCAGTAGGTGCGGAGCACCCTACTGATCCAGCAACGTCAAGAGAATTTGTAGGCCTCTTGATGAAGGTTGCTCCCAACACACAGACGTTGTGCGTTGCTGCTCTAGGTAATGAGATCTCACTCATTACCTTGAAACTCGAAGTGACAAATGAGTTGTCCCTTCGAGCTCTAGTCGATTGTGGGGCGTCCAACAATTTTGTGCGACGCCAATCGCTAGAAGATGGTCACTTTAAATTTAGTGAATGTGACACACCTCCTACGAGGATGACGGTACGTCTTGCGACAGGCGCATCCGTAACCGTCATGAAGCGTATAGTGAAGATTCACTATACGCTAGAAGATACCCAATACGACGATGACTTTATCGTATTGGATTTGGATGACAAATTTGATGTCATCCTTGGAATACCGTGGCTCAGAAGGTACGAACCACGGGTAAACTGGCAACATCGGACAGTAACGATGCCTGCCGCTTGTTCATCAGATGGCCATCTGATGAACGTTTTGGAGCGTCCACAAGCGTGTGGATGTACTACGAGTGAGTGCGATGGCCTCACTTGTGGTACGGTCGTTAGTACGACTGCACAAAACCTTAGTGTACCAAACGGTTACACTTCGGAGCAAAGTTCCGGCGGCTGTGAGGAAACACAGGCTGCGCCGAAGGTCCACCACTCGAATAAGTCGGGTGGACTGGGACAAAGATGTATCCCTAGAGGGGAACATCTAGAAGAGAAACAATCGATCGCTCAGGTTAAGCGAAACGATAATCCTAGATCGACTGGAGAGTCTTTCGTAGAGGATCTCGCTGTGGTTGCGCAACCCCAGCTAGAGGAAGTAAAGGGAATAAGTCCCAAGATTACAAATACGGCGGAAATAAGTTCCCCGAAACCCGCGGGAATAAGTCCCCGGGAAGACGAAGGAATAAGTCCTTCGAGGCCTGAGGGAATAAGTCCCCAGGACATGACAGAGACATTGAATGTCCTAGTCAATGACGGATCAAGTGTAGGCGCTTATACACTTGATCTGATTGCGCCTC